CGTGGTGGGATCATGACTGTAGGAAGTTATCAGGAAACAGGTTAAATCTTATCTGTTAAATGGATGAACAGCAGCATCACAATTGCCTTCACAGCAAAAGAGGTTTCCCAAGTTAGCTGCAGTCCCTTCATTTTTTTATTTATTTGGTCGGGTGGATCACAAACGGTCTTAAAGTAGTGTGGAAGGGGCCTTAAAGGTGTGATTCACTCATTTAATCAATACATTTGCAGTAGTCGCAGGTAGGAATGAATGTCTCGCAAGCCGTACTCAGGGCAAAAAAAGCCCGGAATTGCTCGGATCAGCACAGACAAGTCTGCAGCTGCAGAGAGTGGCAGAACACGGCCGGATTTGGAGTCTTATTTCCTGATATTTGGACATCTTGCCTTGGATGGTATAACAGCAACGTAACTGCACCACCGACTTGCAACGTTGGTTATTTATCTCCACAAATAACACAAACCTGGGTAGTTTTTCTGTGTGATGGTGTTGTTAATGCTTACTGTTAGCTTTTACTAGCTGAGACATTTGGTTCATCTGTTTAGCTGAAAATCAGAATGGTATTTTTGGTGTATTTGCAAGCCTACAAGTAAACTGAGGTCAGACGCCACCCTTCAGCAGCATAAAAACTGAAATATTTCAGAATGTATTTTAGTCCTAAACTGTCCTTCATACTTGGTACATCACATTTGCTGATTTTAACTTACATAAATAACACTTCTGAAACTTCTCTAAGTACAAGTTTTGTTCATGTGAAATTGGTTTTAAATTTAGGCACAACGTTACAGCAGTATGAATGAATGATTTATTATTATTGTGTGTTACATACCTTTGTATGTCCAGCCCCAGTAGGCTTGTAAAACACCCAAAACAAATGACAAAATAATAAATACACCATACAAGTACGTATCTAAATAGGCAGGCTTGCCCCCTCATTCAGGCTTTACAAACAAAAGCCAATTTATACACATTAAAATTAAATAACCATTTCATCCTGTCATCAACCCAAAACATTTCAGGCTTTTGGACAAACAGATCACCAAAGAATACATTCATAAAATCATCATATCTTGGACATTATAGCACAAAATGAATTTCTAATTCAACTGCTCCTAAATCACACAGCCTACAAAGTCTGTCCTCTTCAGAAGTTTGAGTGAAACCTACAGATCTCTATGTCCGGAGGAAGGATACCAGTTCACAGCTGAGCCATCAGAGATCTTTGGTTTCTTGTCAGTGTTATGACCCAGCTCATGGGATCACAGCATAAGGAGGAGGTCTGGGCACATGGTGTGAGTTAAGAGTTTATCTACATTAAAATAAGCCTCAAGCCTCTAAAGGCCTCACCAACTGCCACACAGGTAGGAGCTATCAAGGTAATCTACCTGAAGCTGCACCAAGCAGGCTTTTATGTTGCACCCACAGGTGCAGCCACTCCTGCACACACGCAATCAGGGACGGCACACAGCCAGGCCAGTTGAATTGAGGGGCATAACATTTGCCTTTTCATACGAGTCCGCTCCAAATACATCTTTCGTTTGTAATAAGTCCTTAGTTTTGGCTTAGCCATGATCCCAATCGACCAATCAAATAGGATCTAATTTCATCAACAGAACAGAACAAATTATCACAAAACACATGCTGGAGTTTAGCATCAGCAAAAGCAGTCTGAAGCTCAGCAGCCTAAGGGGACTTATTCTTACTACACAAAAACCTTTTTTGTTACTCTTTTTTCAGGCAGGTGAACGAGTCGATCCATAATCTAAGCATTCCACATTTCCATTGGACTGAACCAGGAACCCACACCATATCACCCTGCACTGCCAGTACTGGGACAAACTTATGCACCCCCAAAAAGCAAAAGGTTGCACGGTTTTCCACAGCATCCAGTGCTGGGCTCTAAATAGTATTCTTCACTTTTGTTAATGATCTATTTCAAGCCGTGCAAGTAGGATTACTACAGTGCAGCGAGGTCAGTGGAAAAAATAGATCGGGTTGTCTTGAGTGGCTTGTCTGTCTGCGTCCTCACTGACTGGACTGTTTACCAACAGTGAGAGGTTGGGTCCAGGGTTGCCCTTATAACAGGTAAAGACGTTTCAGAACAGAGCATACAGAAAAAGATGACGACTTAAGAACCTGTTACATGATACACAGGGCCAGCAAGAATTAATCCAGCAAATTACAGCATTTCCTGATTCAAAAGCATCCAAATCTGAGCACCAATCTGTTCCAGTGGGAGTTTTAAATTATTCAGTCTTCAAGGCTACATGAAGAGAACCAATGTCAGGTAACAGAATTGTTTTGGAACAGGCGAGAGATTAATGGGCCATTCCCATCTGTACCAGGTCGGCCCGGGCCAGGTAGCCCCAGTCGGCCCCTGCCTAGCCCGGTTGATTCCACCATCCTTGTCTTAAGCCCATGTGGGCTGATTCTACCTACCAATCAGAGGCTTGCTCTAATGGAAGGTGTGAATTTGCTGTTAGCAGTGGGTGTGTTGGCCCTGGTCGGCCTGAAGCAGACCCCCTCGAGAAGAGGGCTGAGAATGAGCCTTGGTTGGCCCGGAAAAATACCAGGCCCCCCAGATATGTAAACAACCTACGCTACCCGGCCCGGGCCGACCCGGTACAGATGGGAATGGCCCATAATTTTCCTCTCTACCTTCAGACCTTGTCGGTCTCAAGGGAACCAAACAGCCGAATCAGGGGGTTGGTTTCCAACAAACCAAGCCGCAACTTTCTCTAAGTTGGTGTTCATTCTGCATGCGAATTCTGAAAACAAAGCCAGATTACTGCTCAGAGCATCTAGCTTGGGATTCATCTTGAGCAACGTCTGACTCTGACCCCGGGTTTCCACGGGAGCCGTCAGCAGCACGTTACTGCAGCAGCACGTCTTGCTCGCGTAAGCTGCTGCGTGGCCCTTCCCACGAGACGCGAAGCAGCAGGGGAGCAGCTGTCACCGACAGAGCACGAAGTCACACGAGTGACTTCGTCAGTAAACACAACAACTAGCAGGAGAAAACTACAACATGGCTCCAAAATGTTTGTGTTTTATGTTCTGTCCGTTTTATAATCGCTAATACGGGCCTGAAAAACAAAGGAGACCGCTAGCTAGGTGATAAATTCTCACGGGGACGCACAGTTAGTAACTTTTTTTAAAAGTAAAGCAACGGAAAGGCAGTACGTTCTTTATTCTGAAAATCTCGATAGATTCTCTCCATTTCCGCGTCCGATTTCCTGTCTTTCCTTCCCCAAAAATGTCGAACTTGACCCGTTTCAGAGGCGTCGCGCGTAGAAAATAGAACCGGCGCGTAAAGGCCGCGACATGCTGCTCTTGAGACGCGGCCGACTCGCGCTGCTGACGGCTGCCGACGGCTCCAGTGGAAAAGGTTCTGTTGACCACAGCGGTTCCTATCAGCAGCTATGACGTGCTGCTGCAGTAACGTGCTGCTGACAGCTCCCGTGGAAAGCCGGGGTTAGAGTTCAAAGCAGCATATCCCTTCGGGAGAGCTACTAATAGCTCCTGTCAGCTCCAAAATCTTCCGATACATCAGGTAGCCAGCAGCTCCAAACAACAGGAAACTGGTAATCATGATTCCAAAATATATAAACATCTTCTGAGTCTTCGATGGAAGGCAGCAAGAGGCACATAATCTTCCACTGGTTCCAGGAATCCATAATGTGCCCAACCGGGCGCGTTCCATCTGGACAAAAGGGAGCTTCCTTCTCTGTTTGTAAAATGAGGAAAAAACGAATGGGTGTTTGTGCACTTTCATTTTTCGAAGCTGACTTCTTTCCTCTTTTGGTACAGGGTCTACTTTTAAAATACCTTTATTTATCTAATTATCCAACTACTATAACAGGATGTTTTACAGACAACTTAAAGGATTACACCTCGTTCAACCAAAACATAATATACCAATCAAATTCAAATTCAAAGATACATTATTAATCCCAGAGGGAAATTAGAGGTTGTTTGGTCAATACCAAACATACACATATAAATCTCTGTATCATGAAGCATTGTCTGTAGTTTTATCATTGACATTTTCAGTACCTTCCAGAAGAAGCCATTCCAAAGAAACTGTGATTTTAAAGCCGCTTTCAAAAGACACACACTGTGTTGTCATGGTGTCTTTTGAAAACGCAGAGGCAGCATGGTGAGAATATTGCGGTATCCGTGCTGCTAAGCTTGATGGTAATAGTACCTCAGCAATGGACTTCTAAAGGAAGATCACGATTTCCCGGAACAGAGGGTGGCATCATTATTATGTGTGGAATGTCTGCCAAGCCCCAGACCGCATAAATGAGGTGGCCTTTCATTAACCCTGTAAAGGGTCATTTTAGCACATGCTGGCTCAAGAAAATTATTTAAAAATGGGAAAAGTATGCCTTTAACTGGGAAATACAATAAAACCAAAAAAAAATTAAAATAGGAAAATATTTTTATTAAAGTCAATACCAGAGTTTCCTGATTAAATTAATAAAAATATAAATTCACTGGCCCAAATGATTTAATAAAGAACACACAAAAATCATAAATTCTCATACATTTTTCTCACCTGTAGTAAAGGTTAAATAATTCGTTGGAGCTGAAAGATAATCACCCATGCCGTAATTATCCAAAAGGAAGCTCATACCAATTTGCTTAGGTGGCTAATTTATGGGGGGTCGTGCAGTGTATAAGGAAGCTTCTTTCTGGTTATTTGGAGAAAAATGAATGCTATTTTTTAAAATATCTTATTTTACAGCAAAAGCTTGAAATATACAGGAAAGGAACTGTGTGGCTAAACAGAGTTTGTTGGTTTGGGTTTATCCTTCAGTTAACTAAAAGTTTTCCTCACTAGCTGTTGTGTGTGTTTTGTGTGAGCATTTTATTTAAGAATCAGCACTTCACATCAGAACCCATTCAGGAAATATCATGCATAAAAAAGGGAACTGGTCATCTTACTGTGTTTCCAGTCAGTTACATAAAGGTCTGATTGTTTTTATAGTAAGTCTTGGCAGGTTTGAACATAGAGGCCAGATTACGGTAAGGATTTCAACCCAACAAGATTACCTCTAGATTTAAGCACCTTATTTAGTTCCAAGCAATGAAAATCAGTCGTAAGCTCGTCTCCTGGGCGCGTATATAAGGAAGCCTTGGAAACGGGAATGCAGTTTGGTGAAGAAACACATCAAGAACTTTTCTATTGAATCAGTGCTGCTGCTACGCTGACTTCAAACAGGTAGGATTGTTTATTTTTCATGTATTTGTGTTGTATCTGTTCTGATCTTGAACCAGGATTCGTTTCTCCTCGTCTGTAAGTTAGGAGTGCCGTAACAAACAAAACTTTATGATCTTTCTGTAAAACTGAGATAATCTGATATCTAAAGAAAAGCACTGTGGTGTTTTTAGACTGCAATTCAGAGTTCTAACAAACCTTTGAATCTTACACATGATCAGATTATGACTCAGTTTCCTCATATGGTGTTTAATTTTTTCTATTGTGTTGATGAAAATGCATGCCATAGATTTCTTTGGAATGAGAATTAAATTCAAATTCCCTACAGAATGGGATCCTCTAAGCTGGCCCTGCTGTTGGTGTTTGTGTCCTGTGTGGGGCGCTGTCTGTCCACCTCCTGCGTTGTTGACACCATCTCAGCAAAAGAAGACTTTGACCCCAAGAGGGTGAGTGTGTTTAAAACACAAACGAGACATTTAAAAACAATTTGATTCCATTCCAGATGATCAGCTGTCTTTCATTCCCTCTTTAGTATGCCGGGAAGTGGTACGCGCTGCAGAAAAAAGACCCAGAAGGGCTTTTCCTGCAGGACAACATCTCAGCTGAGTACACCATTGATGACGACGGCTCCATGACCGCCTCCTCCAGGGGACGGGTCACTCTGTTTGGGTAGGTGACCAATCCAATCTAGGCACGTCCTCACTGTGTCGGAAATATGTAAGATGTTTATTTTCTGGCTCAGATTTTCAGAATTTTTTCATGTTCCTTTTAAAGACCAGAGAACAGGTTTGGTGTTTTTAGGCCAACAAGCAGCAGCATTAGCTCCAAACAAGCTTCCACCGGATCAGGAACGACTAAGGAATGCAATGGATTATAGTTTAAAATTGACCCGTAACTGCTGAAATTGCAATAATGCTGACTTGTTTAACATTTTGCACCGTGTATTTTTGTTTTGCAGCTTCTGGGTTGTGTGTGCAGACATGGCTGCTCAGTACTCTGTTCCTGACCCCACCAACCCTGGGAAGATGTTCATGAACTACCAGGGTCTGGCCAGCTACCTCTCCAGTGGAGGTAAGTTTTACACACATTTTTCTCACACATCAGAGCTTTTGCATGTTTTCCTCACTCCCTTGATTTCCTTCGAACCAGGTGACAACTACTGGGTCATTGACACAGACTATGACAACTATGCCATCACCTACGCCTGCCGCTCCCTGAAGGAAGATGGGACCTGCGACGATGGCTACGCTCTTGTGTTCTCCAGGAACCCTCGAGGTCTGCCTCCTGCAATCCAGCGCATCGTTCGCCAGAAACAGGAGGAAATCTGCATGGCTGGACAGTTTCAGCCCGTCCTGCAGTCTGGAGCCTGCTAGATAAACAGAAAGATAAATGGAGAGGGATAGCATGTGCCAGCAGGCTGTAGACCATGTGGTCTAGCAGCAAGAATGAGATTCTGTGAGTGAAAGAAGGTGAAAACATCTTCCCTCACTTGCACTTGTATCATCTAACAAAAAATGTCTTGGTTGAATAAAGTTTCTTTTTTCTAAAATTTCATGTCTGAAATGTTTTTTTATTTTTATTTTTTTATTTTGAGAATAAAAATGCAGAGAGTAGGTTAAGTAGGTGACAGAAAATACTCAAAAGTAGACCAGAAAATACTCAAAACAGAAAACACAACCAAATATAAGGCAAAAAAATAAAAAAAACTTACAATAGCTCAACTCAAAATCCCACAAATGGGAGAAGAAAGGAAGAATGACAAAATACTACCCTGTGACCTTAATTATTCATAACTCTCAAAAATATCTAAATCCACCTATCCTCTTCTGGCATCCAAAATCTGATAGGGGTGTGAACAGATTCAAAAGGGATTCCCAGACATTACATTTCCCCGTACCACTCTCCAGGTCCTCCTGAAGGATTCCAAGGCCTCTTCAGTCCGGAGAAGACCTATAATCCGTTCAGCAAAGTCTGGGTCTGTCTCACGGTCTCCTCCCAGTGGAACAAGTCTGAAAAACCTTTAGAAGACGGCAACCAGGAGTCATCAGACACCCAAACCACTTCATCTGACTCCACACTAAACCAATGAGGAGGAGCAGCATCTTGAATCCAAACTCTCATGTTTCATCAGAGAAAAACCAGAGCAAAGTCCTCATCAAGACTCTGATCTCTGTCCATCTTTCTCTCTACCATCACTTACCATGCTACACTGAACCACCTTAATTTATTAAGTGCCTTAAGATGCAACAACAAAGTCAAACAAAACGATGTACATAACATCAACATAATAAAACAAGTGATACCACAGATCAAATCAAGATCGCTCATAAAACCAACTTCTAAAATAAGCACACCATGCAACAAATTCAAACATGATAGGCGGTAGAGAAAGGTCTCATACAAACCAAAATAAATCATTTCCCACAGTAAACGCATGAAGATAAAAGTGTTTTAGGCAAGATTTTAAAAAAGGGGGAAAGAGGGGGCCTGCCTGACCTGCCGATACAGGGCATGCCACAAATTAGGGCCTGTCACTGTTAAAGGCCCTCTTCTCCCTAGATACACATCAGACTTTTGGTACATTTAGCACCAATTGGTCTGCAGAGCCGCAGGGGACGAGACTGTTAGTAGGGCTGAAGCAGGTCTGTGTTTAAAAAGAAGGAATATGGCAGTCTTTTATGTTATATATTAGGGCTGGGACTTGATTAAAAATTTTAATCTAATTAATTAGAGGCTTTGTAATTAATTAATCTAAAGTGATTGCATTTTAATCGTTCTGGAAAATGTGCTCTCAAAGCAAAACTTTTAATTAAAATTATGAGGCAGAGAATCAACCATTAGACATGGTTATTACTGTAAACTAAAGCTTTTAATTAAAAAAATGCATTTTAATTATTAAAATGTCACTGTGTGATATGAAACAAACCACAAATCAACTAAAATTTATAATTACAAATAGAAAACACCTGCAGAGGGTTCCTGAGCCTTTAAATAGTCTCCCTGTCTAGTTGAATTACTGAAACAAAGTAGACTTTGCACCAGATTCTAATTTTTCCAGTTTCACTTGTTTGTATAATTTGTAGTTTTTATTTGCATTTCTACTCATAATGTAGTAAAACCACACATATAAACATGGACGTAATTTTTTTTTTGAGGGGGGGACCCCCCCCCCCCCCCCCCCCCCACTTTTTCCAAAGACAAGTTTTGACCCCTGCACTTTTTACCATCCAAGAACAATATTACGCTATATTAAATTGACACTGGTTGAGCTCTGGGACCAAGCGGAAAACAACCATTTGTGTTGAAGCCTGTTTCCCATTAGGGCATACTGTAAAGATACCCACCCCCACCCACCCCCACCCCACACACACACACACACTTCTAAAGTGAAAATTACGTCCATGCATATAAATAATAGTCCTTCAAAATGACAGTGGAACAGGCACAAATATGATCTAGGACTTAAATGTACTAACTTTTAACACCAGCGCAGGCGTGACATTTTCTGAGAATGATCAGGAACACTAACTGGTTCCAGTTGGATGGCTGGAGGATGATGTGAAGATAAAAGATCATGGCGAGGAAATAATGATCTGACAAACAGAGGAGCGGACCTTCCTAATGGGATGTCCTGTGTAATGATTTAAATTACATGTTATTTAATCAGCCATAAGATGTAGGATTCCATAGAAAATATGAAATTAACCTTATGGGGCGACGGCGGCACAGGAGTTAAGTGCTCGCCCCGTAATCGGAAGGTTGCAGGTTCGAGCCCTGCTCAGTCTGTCGCTCTTGTTGTGTCTTTGGGCAAGACACTTAACCCACGTTGCCTACTGGTGGTGGTTGGAGGGACCGGTGGTGCCAGTGCTCGGCAGCCTCGCCTCTGTCAGTGCGCCCAGGGCAGCTGTGGCTACATCGTACCTCATCCCCACCAGTGTGTGAATCTGTGTGTGAATGGGTGAATGACTGATTGTGTTGTAAAGCACCTTGGGGGGTTCCAGGAGTCTAGAAGGCGCTATGTCAAATACAGGCCATTAACCATTTATGGATCTGTTGGGTTATTTTAACCAGAAGATTGGAACTTTATATTGCAGAGATTAGATAACAGCTTCGTATTCACTCAGAGACAACAGAAGAGAGTCAAGTTTAAAAGTTTAAAGATTTATTACTAAACAAATTAAAACTAGACTAACTTTAACACTAAATGTATGGTGTAACTAAGGTGGATGAGACGGAGAATGGTGTAATGAGGAATTTGCTCCGAACCAGCAAATCCGAAGAAGCGATTAGTTCTGATGGGAATTGAAGGTGATGTCTTCGCGCTAAGCTTTGGTTAGGAGATTTATAAACAAATTCGACGCCATTTGTCAGTCTACGTACCCTTACCGGAAGTCCCCATTAGATCAGGAATGTCGAGGTCCAGCTTGACCTTGTGGAGCCGAAGCCGGTAGAAGCAGCCGCGGCAGCCGACCACCAGTCTTGAGATACTTCCGGGTCACGACAAGTTTGTTGGCATCTAGTGAGACCCAAACCTGGGTCGTGATGGTTCAGCTTTTATTCTGAAAGGAACCGTTGCAGCAGTTGAACAGCAACAGATTTTATCCAGCTTGTCGGTTCTTTTGGCTGAAGAGGAAAGTTACGGATTGGCCACTCCGACACCTCTCTAGAACGCTTTGTTAAAGATGACTTGGGCATAGTTTTATACATTGGATGTTTTGGTTTATGGTTGAATGGAAAGATGACAGATTTACCAAGCACCACTAAAACCATCCCTCCGCCAGATGTTGCAGATTCTGATTGGATCAGTAAAGCAATGTCGTCTCTTGACGCTACGTGAGATCAGTCCTAGTGGAAACATTTAAAGTCATATTACTTATTATATTCTATAGGATTAAAATAAAGTAATTAATATTTTGATTTCACAGATTGGTCACATCTTATTTATTGACTAACACTTTGTTTGATTAGCTTTATTAAAATAGAGTTCTTTGATTTATTAAAAGGAGAGAGTCCATTCTTCATTCTTCTCTTGAGCTGGAAAGAAAGCAGTTTATAGCAAATGCATGAGACCTTGAGGCCATATCTCATGCAGACTAGTTCTGTGTCAGAGAGGGGGGAAATGACTTTTGGTGGAAAACAGTCATTTCATACCATTACACCTGCTGTCACGTTAAGAAGGGGATGCTGCAGACCCGCAGATTCACGCCTGCAGCAGCGAATCTGGTGTGATCTCCAGCCTGATCACAACTTTCTCGTTCCTCGCTGCCCCTGATGCACTTAAGCATCCACCCCTTAGCTAATGACAGCTTCAACACACCTTGCTGCTTAATGATAGTAATGCATGTGATGTTTAGACAGTGACTCGTCTCAGAAACATATAATTCCCCGACAGAATTGTTTAGAAAATCATCAGAAAAGTTTCAGAGTGCTTCTGTTTTAACTTAAACTTCTGTTTTCAACTTTAAGACACGTCGTTTGTGATTGTTTTCAGAGTAGTGAGAACACGGAGCGTTCTCCCAGCGGCAGCCAGGTGCCTCTCGTTTGTCTGACTACTTTCATAAACTACTGTTAGGGCAAATAATTATTCTGTCTGGTGCTTTCAGCGCTGCACAGATGTTACGTAAATGTTAAAAATATAGCTTACAACTTTTGTAAAGTTTCTGGTGCCACCGGGCAGCGGCAGCAGTATCGATCTCTGAAAAATGTCTGCGACACGGACTCCGTTGTTGTCTGGAAGTTATTTTTTTTCCAAGTTGAGAAAAGCGGCGGATGTGTTTCCTAAATCCTGCATCTGTCCAAGCAAGGCAACTTCTTTCTGTTTTTATTCCGTTTTAGTAGCCATTAGCACTGTGCATTGTTGTGTGCGTCAGTGATATTCGGTCTACGAGGAAGTAGTGCAATGACAAAGGTTTCGCCTTGTTCGAAATGCAAGTTGCGATTAAATGCGTGAATTTTTTTTACGCGTCCTTTTTTCTAATCAATTAATCATACTTAATGCGTCAAAGTCCCGGCCCTATATATATATTTTTTTTATGTTTATATGTATATATATATATATATATATATATATATATATATATATATATATATATATATATATCAAAACACAGAAACACAGTGTGCTCAAATAATGTGATTTATGGTTGAAAGTAAAGTAACATGCAGCCCTTTGACCCAGCAAATGGGTAATCTCTTTCTTAGCCCACCAAATGTAAGCCAAACCCAACACAATACAATCTGGGCAGTAATGGGCTTACTGGTGGCTCGAGGTTTAGGAGGTCTTAGTCGTTTTGTACTGACTCAGCTTGTGGGCCATCAAGGGCGTTCCAGTGTTGGGATCATTTTTCTCATCTTTATATAGAAGACATAACTAGAACTAGAATAAGGTTTCTGTAATTCTGTAACGCTGTTTATTTATTTAGAACCAAATCACAACAAGAATCTCTTAAGGCACTTTACAAAGTAAACATTCAAATGTTATTTACTTATCAGTGCATTGAGTTCAGGTCATTATGCCATTTAGTTAAAAGTTTTGTATGTAAGGAAACCCAGATTGTGTCAAGTCACGGACTTGTTGTATCAGAAACTTTACAGTGATCCCCATACAAGCATGTAGCAACAGTGGAGAGGAAAACTCCCCTTTAACAGGAAGAAACCTCCAGAGAATCCTGGCTCAGTATGATGATGCTTGTTTGTGAACCACTTTGTGACTTAGTGAAAAGTAGTATATGAATAAACTTCTTCTATGAGCAGCCATCTGCATCACAAGTGACTGCTGGGGGTTTAAGAAGACAGAGTAGACACACACACACACACACACACACACACACACACACACACTCACTCACACAGAACAGATGTCCACTACTAGTAGAACATTCTTTGTTAACCATCCCACTGTCCTAATGGGTGTGACCCCGCGAGGAAAGTTGACCATTGAGCAGGGTTGATCGTTTTTTCCCTTGGGTCCATGTGGCAGGGCTGAGGAGTGAGCACCACCACCTCACCCCTGCCACGTGGACCACAAGGGATAAACCATCAATCCTGCTCAATGGTCAACTTTCCTCGCGGGATCACCCATAAAGACAGTGGGAGGGTTAAAGAAAGTTAAAAGATAAGATCGGGGAGTGGGGGATGGTTGTTCACTGTTAGGCTGAACACTCCACCTCCCTCTACACCCCCACTTGTCCACACCTGGGCTAACATCATTCAGAATTTAACCATAAGGTTTATTAGATAAACAATGTCAAAGCCTACTTATAAAAGTAGACAAGATGTCTGTCTCACGGACTGATTATATTTTATTTAAGTGGCTATTAAAAAAAGGAGATTTCATTCTTTCTGAGTTATAGACATTTTCATGATTATATTCCATCTAAGCCACACAGACACAAAGTCTGCACAGGAAGTCCAACTGTTTATAAAACATCCCATAATCCTGATATTTTGTCTCATCTCATCTGTTGTCCCTTTTCCCTTGCTGATTTGTCTCCTTATGAAGGAAAGAGAAAACAGATTGAATAAAAATTCATTATTAAAACAAACATTTATGTCTAAAACCGTTTCAGTTTCAAAACTAACTATTCTAAATGTAAATTGTTTTCTGAAAATCAAATCAGGTTCTGTAATACGGTTACCGGCTATGTTGAAACGGCAAGCTCAAAAGATGTCATTGTCTCCAAAGGTTTTTGTTGTTTCAGATTTTTTTTACAAACACTTCCAAAAACAGAGGGGAAAAAATGGGAATGTTTTACCTTCAGAAAGTGTCTTGATGGTTTTGATGTTTAGTTGTGGATTATGTAATGTCAAAATAGGACTAATACAGCCATTAAATATACTGTTCATGACAACAACTCCTAGTACATCTGTTACTCTAACATCAACAGTAGCCTATTTCTTTTTATCCTAAAGGTAAAAATCTAAATATCACAAACACAAACTTTGAAACATCTCTATGAAACAACAGAACAGCTGTAGTAAAGTAGGGTTTTTTTTCTAGTAAAACTGCATCTCATAGCTCCTATGTAGACTAATATAACTATATTACTTTTCTTCAGTTCTCTACCCTTGTTGTTCCCCATTCTGTTTCCTATTTCTTTGTCTCTTCAATTTGCTCCACCTCACTAGATTCATCCACCACCTTGCCATTGATCATTGTCTGAGTCACCACCTTCACAATCTTTCTGGTGCGAACGTCAGGCTCCTCTGCACAGCAAAAGAAAAAAAAATAGATTAGAGTAAAAAAAACACTAATCCTGTGAACATTATGGCCTATTTCAACTTCCCTAAAATACTGGTCTCTTACTCCATGTTTGTTTTTTTTCTGTGAGTGAAACGGTTTTCAAAAGAGTCTCTTGTTGGCCAACTCCGTAGCACTTACAACACATGGGAGAAGTGCCGTCACACCCTCAGTAGTTGCTATAGGAGCTGAGCCCTGGTGTTTGCATTGTGCACAGTCCCATAGAACTGTAATTATTACTGGCCCTTTTGGGTGTGGTAAAATATACTGTCCGTCTCTTCAGAGGATGGTTTCAGATACACATTATATGAATCCAGATTAGCTGTGGGCATGTGTGGGTATATACCAATATTTAGTAGCAAATGTTAAGTTAGATATGTCCTTTTTATGTTTTTTTTTTCTTTAAATATTCCATGTGTTCACTTGTGTTTTTTAACACACACAGTCTTTAAATGAACGGCTTGTGAGTCGATCTCTGTTGGAAAAAAGCTCTGGTGCTCCTGTTTCAGGAACTAGAAGTGAGCCAAAGCAGAGGTGAGCAGAAGACGGCAGGTTTTGGAGTCGCATTTCCTGATATTCGAACATCTCGCCTCTGACGTCAAGTCAACGGGGCTAAAAACGCTATTTTCTAATCCGCTTTGCCCTACGCCCTGGATTGCACGTATGTTATACTGCAATTTAAATGTAAAGTAACGATGGTTGTTTCGACCACGTCAGTCACGTACTTTGAGTTTTATCAGCTTGTAAAAGTTCGTAATTAGCATGACTACTCACCAGAAATCGACACGTCACATATGTGATGTCACCACGTAATCTCCTCTCCCTAAAGTAGCTACTACTTACCAAATGACCAGGTTTATGGTGGTTATTTTCTCCTGTGGGAAGTTTGCTGAACTTACAGCCCTTTTCCCTCAGTTTCCTCTGTGTCCGGTTTGATGACGTCACTTTCATGAAGCGCATTTGTAGTTCTGGACTTATTTTCACACAAAACCTAAAATAGTGTTTCCCCCGTTTGAAAATAAGCACCTTCTTGATATCAAAATGTTCCTTTACAATTCACGGACATTATATATGAAATCCATGGCACAAAACAAATGGAATTAGAAAATAGCGGTTTTAGCCCAGTTGACTTGCATTCATGTTTTTGTTCTTCCGGGAACCCATGGTGCAGAAGTAGATGGGTATGACTTAGGCTCCCTATGATTTCTCTTCAACAGTGATGTTTTATTCCCACAAATACCACAAGCCAGAAGGAGTTCTGCCATGTTGAGGAGTTGCTAATGCTAACAGTTAGCTTCTACTAGCCAAGACATGCTCTGCTGTTTCCTGGACACTGCAACAACAACCTTCCCCATCGCAAGCCAAGATGGGTGAGTCCTTGAATGCTTATTTTCTGTGTGATGTAGAATTGACTGGATTTCTAATCTGAACAATTCTTTATCTATTTTCTGTCGCCAGCTAAAGCAGGAAATGGCTGGCTACAGCTAAAGCAAGAAATGGGTGTAGATGACTATTTTCACATTTAGCCTGCATGTTAAACTCAGAGTAACCAATCATATATATATATATATATATATATATATATATATATATATATATATATTTTTTTTTTTTTTTGAAAAAAGCAATGAATGGATTCTTAGTTAACTTGGTTTTTAAGATTCCTAAAAATATATTCTTTAGACCAGGGCTTTTTAACTATTGTGTTGGAGGGTCACTGGCCTGCATGTTTTAGCTATTTACCTACTCCAGCACACATGATTTCAAACCCAATTACAATTTCAATAAATAAATATCTGGCAAATATACATATTTATAAAAGTTATCTGAAACTAAAGGGTCAACTCTGATTTTTTGCCTGGATTTGCTTCACAAGCCTTGACATCATGTTTTCATTTGTGTTCTTTTGGAGAAATGTTGAATACCAGATTGTGATATGTGACATGAGACAATTAAAACCAAGGACTCACTTTTTGGTGGAGGAAGAATTTCTTTGACCCTGATGAAAAGAAAAACAAATAATTTAGTATTCTACAAAACAACAATGACCCATTTATAAGATCCAGACCTGGTAATGAACCTTCCGTGCTTAAACATCCATACATGTTCATTGACCAAAAATGTTCATTTTACTAGTAGAGCATAGTCCACCTGTGGGAATAATAAAGGATCATCTTATCTTATCTTATCTTATCTTATCTTATCTTATCTTATCTTATCTTATCTTATCTTATCAAGACTGGAGACAGAAAAGGGCTAGGGTTAGGGACACAAAGTAAATTAGCATAATGCAACCCATTTTACTTAAGAGGTAAAATTATTTTTTGTTTAAGTTTCACCAGATGACTTGTATTTAACCCAATCTACATTTGATGTTTGTTTTTTTTTTCTCTCATTTATCTCACTGACTCAGAAACCAAAGAAGCTCAGTGCAAACATTTAACCCTAATAAATAACTTTAGTAATCACCCTCTTGATATGTATGTATATATATATATATATATATATATATATATATATATATATATATATATATATATATATATATATATATATATACATATATATATATATATATATATATATATATATATATATATATATATATATATATATATATATATATATATATATATATGCATATCAAGTCAGTGACTTGATGCAATTTGCTGGGTTCCTTACATAGGAAACATTTTTTCTGATTGGCTTAATGAACTGACCTGAATTGGAATGTTTATTATGTGAAGTGCCTTGAGACGACTCTTGTCGTGATTTGGCGCTATATAAATAAAATTGAATTGAATTGAATATATACATATATATGTCTGGTCTCCAAACCTAAAAACACACTGCTCTATGACCTTGTTACCAAGAAGGGAAGCCATAATAAAGTCCTTCTTCTGATTCCCTTATCTTAGCTGGAAACCCAAGGTCCCATGCAGAAGATGAGACTTTTACTCACTGAATGAAGCTTATCTTTCTTGGCTCATAAATTACTTCATAATTTCATATGTGTTCTATAATCATGATTTGTTGAATGAGCAATATGTTTAAATCCAAAGTGTTTTAATAATATGTCCGATACTCTACATTAATGAATGATGGGTTGAAATGAATATTTTTCCTGTAATGATTTTTTTCAGATCTTAAATTACACCAGATTAGTGTTTGTTGATTTTAATAACGTTAATCTATCAGTGTATTCACACCTCAAAATATCATTATTAATATTTAACATTTTTACTTCACAATAAGATCTAACCTCTAAGTATCTGAGGGAAGGAGTGATTGCCTGAGATATTTTGGTAACGCCTTTAAACTTGTCAAATTCTCATTTGCCTAAATTTGTAAACAGTAGCTAATAAAATAGACCTCACTTCCTGAACTAGTCAGTTCTTAGCCTGCTTACTCGGTTCGGCCGACCCCAAGGTCAAAGTCTCTCTGTAACGCTTGCGAGTGATATCAGATGCAACAACTCAGACATGGAACATCTGACTAGCAGACCCTGGTAGCATCTTATGACCAGTGATAACTGAATTCAAAGGAAGCTATGACCTTTGAGATTCCAGGAGCCACATCGTTTGGTGATATCACCAATCTGGCTGCCTTTCCTCTGGACAGCTCGAGAGCTGCCGTCCAACATGGGTACTGTAGACCTGCACACTGGCGTCAGATGGTTTTTCATGAATAACTGATAGCTTGTTAAACCAAACAGTCAAACTGATTTTACAACCCAGATATCACAAGATCTCTCAGATACTTAATAAGGTTTTGCTACAAAACATCTGGCTTACATTCCATAATTTCATTCATTGTTTGTTATCTGTCATGAACTCCTCCTCTTAACCTCCTCTGCGGGCCGGGCTGGCGCTGCACTCCAGTTCCCAGCATGCCTGTCACCGACGCTTCCCGGTGACGTCATCCCGCTGAGCCTATTTAAGGACCTGTCACAGCGGAGCCGGCACTCAGTCATCATCTAACGATAGACGCCAAGCCATTCTAAGACCTAAGACACTAACTCTACGAACCATACGGGAAGAGAACTTCCCACGCTGCCACATATCAGTCTCCATCCACCATTCTCTCCGCGCCTGGGTCTCATAACCACTCCAGCTCAGCCCATCGAACCTGACAGGATGACTGAGTCCCGAGTAGACCCAGCGGAGATCGCACAGCTGCGAGCTGAGGTAGCGCAGCTGCTCAGCCGAGTAGAACGCCAGGAGGCGGACAACGCCCAACTCCGTGTGGAGAACAATCAGCTGCGTGCTGTTACTGATCGCCTCGCATCCAAACTCGATTCCGTCACCGAACTGGTAGTCCAACTCTCCTCAGCCCTCCAACGACAGTCATCTGCCACTCCTAACGTGGTGGAGCCGTATCTAAGTCTCCCAGAGAAATGGGATGGGATTAAAGGATCCCCGGAGAGCATGTTGGCCGTTCTGTCAATGACTTTTGAGTGTCAGCCGGCACGCTACCCGACTTCCTGCTCTCGCGTGGCTCTGTTAACCTCCCTGCTGACTGGGCGAGCCGGTGAATGGGCGGCTGCTCTGTACCATCAGAAGTCCCCAGTCTGCAACGACTATGAAGCCTTCGTGAAAGAACTGAAGAAGGCATTCGTTCATCCCAGTAGCGAGGTCGCAGATGAGACACGCCTGCTCCAGCTTCGACAAGGCTCTCAGACCGTGGCCGAATTCACCTCACGCTTCCGGACCACCGCTGCCCGTCTAACCTGGGGTGATGCCGCGGTGAAGGCTGTGTACTTGGAGGGATTGTCACCCCGCATCCGTGAGGGCATGATTGGTCACGAGGCTCCAACCACCCTGGACCAGGCGGTGGACCTGGCTCTCCAGCTGGACCGCTGCCTCCTCACCAGACCAGGAGTGAGGGCGGTTCCCGTACAATCCCGAACTTTCCCCCGCCGTCAGGAGAACCAACCCATGGAGGAACCCATGCAACTGGGTCATTTGCCCCCCGAGGAACGGGCGCGCCGTTTTCAGGAGGGACGATGCGCCTATTGTGGGGCTCTGGGTCATCCCCGTGAAACATGCCCCATACGCCCGGGAAACGGTCCCTCCGGGTCGGTGTAGGAGCTGCCTCACTCGGAGTTTCCACTCATGCAGCTCCTCATCACACCACCCTCTCGGTCTCCTTCCAGCTGAGCCAAGGACCGGTCCCCCTGGTGGCCCTCCTCGACACCGGAGCTGCAGAAAGCTTTATCGACCAGGGGTTGGTCAACCGGCTCAAGATTCCACTCACCCTCCTCGATCATCCCGTTCCCGTCACCTCAGTGGACGGGCGCCCTCTCATGCCATATCCGATCACGCACCGAACCCAGAACCTCCGGATGACCATCGGAGAACACGTAGAGACCCTTCATTTCTTGGTCATTCATGCCCCTACGACTCCTCTCATTCTGGGTCATTCCTGGTTCCGCCTCCACGACCCTCACATCTCCTGGTCCACCAGTAAAGTCATGGCATGGGGTGTTAACTGTCGCCTTCATCATCCGTCTCCAGGATCACAGCCTAGGGAGACACCACCCAAGGATGTGGATTTAACACTCCTTCCAGGATCAAAGCCTAGGGAGACACCACCCAAGGACGTGGATTTAACACTCCTTCCACCCCAATACCACGATCTGGCTCGGGTCTTTGCAAAGGAGCCTACCACCAAGCTGCCTCCTCATCGCCCCTACGATCTGGAGATCAGGCTTCAGCCCGGAACCACCCCGCCTCGGGGTCGGCTGTTCTCGCTCTCCCCGGCAGAGACCCAGGCGATGGACGCTTACATCAATGAGGCTCTCCAGAAGGGGTTTATCCGACATTCCACGTCTCCTGGGGCGGCAGGGTTCTTCTTTGTGAAGAAGAAGGAAGGTGACCTCCGGCCCTGTATAGACTATCGTGGGTTGAATAAAATCACCATCAGGGACCGCCATCCTCTTCCCTTAATGAGCACGGCTCTGGACGCCACTGCCCAAGCCACACTGTTTACCAAGCTGGACCTCCGCAGTGCATACAACCTCATCCGCATAAAGGAAGGAGAGGAGTGGAAAACCGCTTTCATTACACCCACTGGACATTATGAGTACCTGGTCATGCCCTTCGGCCTCTGCAACAGCCCTGCCGTTTTCCAGCGTTTCATCACTGATGTCCTCCGTGACATGCTGGGTCGTTGGGTTTTTGTTTATTTGGACGAAATCCTCATCTACTCCCGCACGGCCGAGGAACACACCCAGCATGTTCGAGCCGTTCTGTCACGCCTCCTGGAGCATGACTTATTCTGTAAACTGGAGAAGTGTGCTTTTCACCAGGAGTCCACCTCGTTTCTGGGATTCATCATCTCCTCCCAGGGCCTGCGCATGGACCCACAGAAGGTTCAGGCGGTCGCGCAGTGGCCACTACCCAAGACCCTGAAGCAGTTGCAGAGTTTCCTGGGGTTCTGCAACTTCTACCGCCGGTTTATCCGCAACTTCAGCGCCCTGGCGTCACCATTAACTTCCCTGACGAAAACAACCAATCAGCCTCGCCCTTTCCGCCTCTCCCCGGAGGCCGTTGCTGCCTTCCATGAGCTGGTCCGCCGCTTTGTAAGCGAGCCCATCCTCCTCCACCCGGACCTAACACGGCCTTTCGTTGTGGAGGTGGACGCCTCTGAGACGGGCGCGGGAGCCGTACTGTCACAACGTGGCCAGGACTCCAAACTCCATCCCTGCGCATTCTTTTCCCGGAAGTTCTCTCCTACCCAGCAGAACTATGGGGTCGGGGACCGGGAATTGTTGGCGATAAAGTGGGCCCTGGAGGAGTGGCGACAGTGGCTCCTGGGTACCCCCACTCCTTTTCTAATCTGGACTGATCATCAGAACCTCATCCATATTCAGACCGCTCGCCAACTCAACCCTCGTCAGGCCCGGTGGGCCCTCTTTTTCGAACCTTATAACTTTCACATCGCCTACCGCCCCGGCTCAAAGAACCTCAAGGCGGACGCCCTGTCCCGTCAACACAC